GCAGAGGAATGACATTGTGTACAGCAGCATCATGAGCTTCACCATGTGCTTTTATTCAGTTCTCTCTGCATGATACATGTGTGTTAAGTTTAGTTTCATTTGATGATTCTGACTCATGCATTAATGTAAAAGCAGGATTTGACTGCTGTAGTTGGTCGACCTGGAGCGCTATCAAATAACAATTATTTTCATTATGGGTTTATCTGCTGATTATTTTCTCCATTAATCGATTGATTGTTTGGTTTATAAAAAATCTGTAAATACTGAGAGATAGCGTCAACCAACAGTTTAAACCTCAACATAACAATTATTAGATAATAAAAAGCAAAAGCAACAAAAAAGCCTCATATTTGTGAAGCTGGAACCATGAAATGTTTTGCATAAAAAATTATTTAGATGATTATTAAAATATGGAGAATTTATTTTCTGTCAATTCAATAATCTCCTCATAGTTCCAGCTGTACTTGAACATTTTCATATGTTTCAAGTGCAAAATCTTAATTTGTAAAGTAACTAATGGCGGAGGCCAATGGTGCTTTGCTGCATTTCATCCCCTCTCACTCTTCCTCCTTTCCTTTCTGTCTGTACTGTCAAATAAATGCAAAAAAAGTCAAAAGCATAATCCTAAAATAAGTTCAGCCTGATATTTGATTTTCTCCATATTGCCCAGCTAGGGTTGGGAGATATTAAAATTCCCCTGTGAGCAATATTGGGTTGGGCTTTGGTTCTTCCCCTACCTAAATATATTTAACTTTACACAGACTTACTCAGATTTGTAGCTTTGAAAATTATCCATGGACTGATTATTTATTGTTGCTATATCTTACTATATAATGACGAAAACTCTGTCTGTGTGTCTGTTCCACGTTTTTCTCCTCACTGACTTGGTCAATCCATGTGAAATTTGGCACAGTGGTAGAGGGTCATGGGAGGATGTGAATGAAGCAATATTACATCAATTGGCCAAAGGGGGGCGCTATAGCAACTGATTGAAATTGCAAACTTTGAATGGGCATATCTCATGCCCCGTATGTCGTAGAGACATGAAACTTTGCACAGAGATGCCTCTCCTCATGAGGAACAAATCTGCCTCAAGAACCCATAACTTCCTGTTATACAGATTTTCCGCCATTTTGGATTTTTTGAAAAACACTTCAAATCAATCTCTTCCTAGGAAGTTTGAGCGATCTGCATGAAACTGGGTGAACATAATCTAGGGACCAATATCTAAAGTTCCCTCTTGGCAAAAGTTGGAAAACTTACTAAAACTGAGCTTCTATAAGGCAATGAATATTGTGGAGGGCATGGCTCATCACATAAAGGTGTATAACATCTCAAGGGTTTCACCCATCACCACGCAACTTTGTAGGCACATGACCACACATAATCTGAGGAGACCCCTCCATTATTGACCCCATCAAACAAAATGGGGGCGCTAGAGAGCTAATTTCTTATCTAGGCCTAACCGCCATATGGATTTTTACTAAACTTGGTAGATATGTAGAACAGGACACCTCAAGATGACTGGAGAAATTTAACTCTAATTGGCAACTGGGTGGCGCTATAACAACAGAAAAATGCTTAAACATGGCTAAAATGCGACCGATCGCTGTGGCTCCCCCTGTGGACCAATGTTTGGGTTTTCTTTCTAATATTTGGTGTGACTAAGTCAATGGTACTCAATGGGTATGGACTAGTTACTATTATTTTTATTTATTTTTATGTTACTTTATTCATAACTCGCTGACTTTAATCTGTTATTTGCTCTATCTTTGCCTGTAAGGTGACCTTGAGTGTTTTGAACGGTGCCTATACAGTAGATAAAATGCAGTTTTCTATTATTATGTACTTCACTTTTATGTCATCATCATTTAGTAACATTAGGCTTCACCATTTAGTTGCTTACACGTGATATATGACACACATTTTATGTCATTTTCAGATTATGTGAATTCATTTGGATATTGTACTGTCATGAAAGTATTAATAATGTGCATGTGGACACAATTAATTAGTTTGACACAATACAGAACTCACACACATATTTAGAATAAGCTGTCTTGTTCAATGAACTGATTGTTTTCCTCTGTGGGGTGATCTGTGGTCCTGAGACGAGGCGTTGCTGGTGTCAGTAAAGGGTGGAAATGTCGCTTCAATTAAAAGTGGTTTCAATTAAAGTTATTTTACCTTGCTTGATGAGAGAGCTGGAGGTAGTGAAGATAAAATCTGTAAGATATTGCCAAGGCTCTGGCAGAAAATTGAACCCCAGAATTGAAGCTAATTGAATTTGAGAACGATAAGGTTGAATGTGGGGAGCTCTTAAAGCTGGCAAGAAAGGACGAGAAGAGGGAGTTTGGAAGAAAGGGAGAGAAATGAGGGAGGGAGGCTGCTAATTTAAATGGACAAAGATGAAGAGAGGACGCAGGGTAAAACTAATTTCTAAGAGATACAGTACATGGAGGTTTGTGGCTTTAAAATGCTCCCATAACATGTTTGAAAGTCGTGTATGATCATGTTTTATGCTCTTTGTGGGGAAAAACAGATTATACTGTGCAGCTTCAGTGATGCCCACAGGGAAATCCTCTCCACATGGAGGTCAGAGCTCAGGTTCAAGAACAACAATCATGAAGCTGGTAGGGATCCGCTGTGTTGCTTCAGGGCTCTTCAACAATGGGGAGCTGTGGCCTCAATGAGCCGTGAATACATGTTTTCTGGTTAAAGGATCTTTTTAGGGATTTCACGTGAGTAAGAGTGGAATATAAAGATAGAATCACATCTGGGATTAGTGCTATCTTGATCTGAAAACTTTCCAAATCCAAACCTGTTTTTTGCAACAATAATCTGGGATAACAACGAGGATTGACATGTGATGGACGCCGGACAGCTTGACGGATAAAATCTAGATGATATATGTTGCTGCAGTAATGCAGGCATAAATCTGTGTCCCACAAAGTGCACTATGGGGTTGCATACTTGATTTAACAAATGTACCGCCATAAATATTCTCAGTAGAACCTTAGCATGATGATATGATGTTGGGATGGTTGAGCGCCAAGAACTTTTTTGACCGTTTATGCATGTGTGTTCATAGGTTAATTTCACTGCCAGGTCTAGTGGGAGCTAGCTAGCGGTCAGTGTTATTGACCAAGACGATGACAAGCTTAAAATAAATCTTGATAATTATGACTAAGACAAAGTTGACGAGACGAGTGATGGACTATCGGACATTAAAAGCCGAGAACAGCTGTGCTTGTTACTGCCTCAAGTTCAAGTATCTCGGGGTCTTGTTCACGAGTGAGGGTAGAATGGAGCGTGAGATGGGTCGGCGGGTCGGTGCGGCTTCTGCAGTGATGCGGGCGCTGCATCGGTCCGTCGTGGTGAAGAGGGAGCTGAACAACCCTCACCTTTGGTCATGGGTTCTGGGTAGTGACCGAAAGAATGAGGTCTCAGATACAAGCGGCTGAAATGAGTTTCCTCTGTGGAGTGGCTGGGCTCAGCCTTAGAGATAGGGTGAGGAGCTCGGACATCTGGAGGGAGCTCGGAGTAGAGCTGCTGCTCCTTTGCATCGAAAGGGGTCAGTTGAGGTGGCTCGGGCATCTGACTCGGATGCTTCCTGGGCACCTCCTGTTCGAAGTGTTCTGGCCACGTCCCACTGGTAGGAGGCCCCGGGGCAGACCCAGAACACGCTGGAGGGATTACATATCTCGTCTGGCCTGGGGACACCTTGGGGTCCCCCAGGAGGAGCTGGAAAGTGTTGCTGGGGAGAGGGACGTCTGGGGTGCTTTGCTCGGCCTGCTGCCCCCGTGGCCCGGCCTTCGGATAAGCGGATGAAAATGGATGGATGGAGCCGTGCTTGTAATTATCTTCAAATGCTGCATGGGTGATGGGCTGGTAAACTCCTGTAAATAGTCTGCTCCAAGATGTTTCGCTAGCCAGCAAAAACATCCACACCGGAGCAGTGTTAACCGATGGTGCAAGTTGTGAGCTGTAATTCAGCAGTAAATAGTCTGACTGTGGGATGGTGGAGCTGCTGAATGGATTTATGGAGTCTGTTAGTTGCATTGGTGGCTGTTAGCAGTTAGCTACCCTGGTAGCCAATCAACCCATAAAACTTCCCAAAACAGTCCGGTCCGACTTGAGTTTAAACCTACAGACTAACATGTTCCAGATTAAGACAGAATTCAGGCTTTATTTAAGTTACTTTTCTGCTTCTTAACAGTGAGATCAAACGTGCTGCCATACTCGGTTTCAGTCATTCCATGGCTGTAATGACGGCGCAGAGACGCCAAGATGTGGACGACCCCGAAATACTGACCATTCAGAGGAGACTAGGCTTTTTTTGGGAGCGTGGCTTAAAGAGACCCTAAACGGAGGGTGAATACAGGTGTTCCAGGAAAGGAAGTTTGAGGAAAATAAAAATTTTTGTACATTAAAGTAGTAGAAAACTTAAATACAAGTATGAACATGAACATGAGCTTTAAGCCTCTAGGTACCTTTTAAATTTGCCACATGCTGATATTGGAAAAATTTCCTGATTAATATTCACTATAACAAGGTCTATCTGTTTTGTTTTATTGAAGCTATAGTTTAGTTATAGTCCAATATTACAACCTATAGTAGCTGCCCTACTACTGATAATAACATCCCTGTTTTCAGATTTGTGACAGTGCTTTGTTCAGGTAATCCAAAGGGTTTTTAAATGGTTAACTGACGATAAAAAGTGTAAGAATTCCCTCAACCCATAAGGGACTGATTAACCCTTCTTATCTGAGATTGTCAAAATTGCGTATGTTCTGTAGTGGACGATGTCCTTGGATTCACCGGGGCTCACATACAGAAAAAATGATATTTAAAATTAGTATTTGAATATATAGCTGCAGGTGAAGGTGAAATGGGGATGCAGAAGTGCAAGTGAGGCATCAGAATGGTGCACTGCCACCATTACATTAATTGGGGACCATTTCCTTTCTCATTTTCTCTGTCTCCCCCCCTCATTGCAGATTTCCCCAGACTCGAGCAGTGGTCGGAGAGCACCTCCCTGTCTGACGCTTCCTTCTTCATGGATGGCTTCCTCTACATCTCCACCGGCCCTGCCAAGACGACGCTGGACCGGCGCGGAAGAGACGGTGAGCGTGAAAGCCGTTCTTTGCAAAAACCCCCGGCAAGGCCAATCAATCCATCAATCCATTTGTAAGCAATTTAAACTGCGTGTTTGTCAGAGGTCTACTCCAGTTAAGCGCTGAGCGATCAATCAGTGTCAGTCTGTCAGTTGTCAAACTGCCAATCGTTTAATCCGTACACCAAACAGTCCAGTCAAAACGATCAATGAATCTGTCTTTCAGATGCGTTCTGCATCGGCCCTCTGAGAATACTTGTCAGATAGAGAGATGTTCTCAGAAGACCCAGCAGTGAATGCTAAGCGGAAGTACCGGGTAAATTAAGGCCAGGTTAGAAAAATTAATATAAAAATAAATAAAAGAATTTCAGTCCTTTATAAATCTACCTGAGAGATGCTACCTCCAAAACTTCTCAATCCTCCTTAGTTTTGTCTTCCAAGGCAGTTAGAAACTTTTAATCAGGCTCTATTTCACACCCAACTCCTCAGCTGCTGCTGCTGCACCTCCTGCTCCGCAACGGTCCCACTTCTCCAAACAGCTGGAGCATTTCTTGGGCCCATGGGTAATTAGGAGAAGGAGCAGGCTTTGGATGCTGCCCCTGGGGAAGGGGGTTATCGGGGAGGTGGAGGATGAGGGGGGAATTGGAGGAGAAATGGGGGAGTGGAGGCTTCCGGGTGGGGGTGACAGCTTGCAGCTACCTGCCATTTGAGCAAGCTGAATCTCCTACGTCTTGGGCAAGACATCCATCTCCATTTCCATCAACCCACACACGCTCCACTCTCATTGGTGGTTGTACATGCTGGCTAATGAACAGGGCTGAGGTCTGGGAAATTGCCCCTTAGAGGAGATGGGGGAAAATTCTCACCAGTGTCTATTGAAATTCTCATTATTTGTAGGGATGGAATTTATTTCCATTCCATTTGTCTGAGGATAATTCCTATATATTGTAATTTGGGTGTCAATTTTCGTGGTCGTTGGCCATCACTTCTGTTGGTCATGATGAAGTATTTGGGAACATGGCGACCTTACTCCAAGTCTAATCTGATGGGTCAAGAAACGTGAGTGGTCAGACGATCAGGAAGGCTTCAAATATGCTTGTTTAAGAACCGCAGCCTGGTATATGACTAATTGAATATTCATTCGTCGGACAGGTACTCCATTTTTTGATTTTGAGATTTGTTTTTTTCAATTTTTCGTGTGTAGGATGGGTTAAATGCCAAAGCACTGTGAGTACGAGTACTAAGAAATGACTATGAATAAATAAATAAATAGAAATCTCAGATCTCGTATGTGTTGGAGCTACTATGCTGTTTCTGCACTTCAGTTTCACAGCACCTTGTCAGGCATTGACTCACATTCAAGGCCTATTATTATGAGCATTTATGGAGGTCTGTAATTAATTCATGATTAACAAAAAAAAAAACTGTTACAAGCTGTTATGTCACACAAGGTGCAAAGATAGGACTAAGAATATGATAGAAATGCCTACATCTCTCAATGATATGTATTTACTCATCCCATGTTACCTTGAATTCTTGAAGAAAGAATTTCCTGCACGCCATTACAGTTAATGAAGAATCCAAAAAAACTGAGAAAATTCTTGATGAATTCAAGTCAAGTCTGAGCACAGCAAAACTATATCAAAACGTCATTCTACCAACTGTCAGGAAACTTGTTGAGTATAATCCGTGTCTCATTTATCCAGTTGTTTCAGCTAATGAAGAATTTTCTCCTTTTTGGATTCTTTGTTCATCATGGAGGCATGCAAGAAAAATAAAGCGTTCTTAACGAATCTAATGTAACACGGGGCGAGTAATTGATACACCAATGGTCATTTGGGGGTGCTGTGTTCCTATAAGTAAACACTGGGGGTGTCAGTTTCGGTTAATTTTGCGGTAATTATGCGCTAAATTTTTACGAAAGAAATTTCAAAATGACCTGAAATACCATTGGCTTAGTGAGCTTTAGCACCGTATTTGAAAGTGCTATCCATTTTAGTGTTTTATGACATAAACATCTTGACTGTATTTTATTTTATGTTGGCTTTGCTGACAGACAGACGTTCAGCTAACGTTTGCCTCAGCTGCTCTGTACTGCACATCAGCAAGCTTGGTTTGGAGCTAGCTAGCTGCGCAACTCATTTGTTTTTACTGCTAGTAGCACTGTACATGTGGCGGCCACCTTCAAGTCTTCCTCTAGGTCGCCCTGTTGAGTAAGCTGCTTAATTTTTAGCCACAAAACCCCTTTTGCATAGTTATCTCTTTTTGCACCACTAGCCATGCTAATTGTGCGAGTAGAGCTAACAGCAATAGTATAGTTAGCAATGCTAAAGTAGGTTTGCAGCTTAAAATGAAGCTGTTTATGCCCTGGGGTGACCTTTGGGGCAACCAGAGGGCGGGCACAATGTTTCCACAACACAACTGTTTGGTTGGGACTGCGTTACTAGTTGTAATCGCCGAATGAGCGACGCCGCTAGCAAGCATCTGCCAGACCTAGATGGTGTGCAGTGCAGTAAACTGAAGAATAGCAAAATTGGCCAATAGATTGAAATGTGGAACTGGTCAAAATTATTCTTGGCAGTTAACCATTGACATCCCCAGTAAGCATTTGTCTTTACAGAGTGATTCACCATGTTAATGTTGGCTGATAGCAGCAAAAGAACACTATCAGCTGTTCTTATAAACCCCATCAGTATAGCAGTATGTGGTTTGTTCTTCCACCTTCAGCACACTGAGCTCCTGCTGTAGATGGACTAACGCCACAGGTGTCCATTTTGAAGAGGTCCATTTTAGCCTCCACTGTGCATTTTGTACCACTTACACAGGCTGCGCCATTCCAAAGTTGTCTCCCCGCAGATAAGTGCCTGTAATATTTCGGCCGATAAACACCCTGTTATGTCATCTATTATGAAAAGCCATACAAGTTTGGCTTTTGTGCTTTAATGGCGCTTTAACTGCAGCTGCAGCTGTTGAAAAATTCAGAGGGGTTGGGTTTAAAACTTCCAACTTCTTCAATCATGAGGAAGCGCTGTCAGGACTTTCCGAGCGCGGGGGGAGGAGATATTTTTGAATGTACTCCAGGATGCCTTTCGCTCCCAGGCTAATGGTTAGATGGTCTATAGATACACCCAGGTCCTTAATAATTCATAGGTTGTGCTCAGGGCTTAATAAAAGCACTCTGCCACAGCATCTTAAACTTTTTTTTTTTGTCTGGAGACAACTCCAATAAGCTTTCATGCTCCTTCCACTGATGGGAGCTAAATTGAGAGTACGACATAAATTAATTTGGCAAGCAATTTTGGTAATGGCCTTGACAGAGGTGGCATGGGGGATCATTGTGCCGGTCCGCCATAATGAAATAAAATACTGTGCTACTTAGCGTTTGGCAAAAAAAAAAACATGTTCCGTGTAGATGCTGCTGGGAATATAAATTAGGATTAGAAGACCAGTATCTTATTTGTGCTGAAATCAAGGTTTATCCTCCAGCGTGGCTCCACTTTATTAGCCGTGTGCTGCAGGTTTACGCTGTTGATTCTAGCGCAAATGAAGTCCCCCTCCTAAACAGGCCGAAAAGTGACTCATGCTACTTGCACATTAAAGAGTGTGTACATGCTTCGTGTGCGCCCGTGTGTGTCTGCGCGCTCGTGGGAGTCTCGGGAGGGGAAGGGGAGCCAGTAGGCAGTTACTGTCTGAAATGGTGAGTGGCAGCAGGGAAATGGCACCCGTAATTTCTGATTAGTTTTGTCTTTTCTTCATCAGCTGCGCTCCTGTTTTCAACTCACAACTGGCAGAGAGGGAGGAGGGAGGAGGCGGCGGCGGTGTGGAGAGAAGAGGGAGAATTATGTTAACAGTTTTATTGAGGACACAAATCTGAACATTCAATTACTTGCATCTACAAAGCGAGTTTTTGATAATAAACCAAATATCCTTAAGCTGTCAAAGGGTGTTAAATGACTGGAATTTATAAGCAGTCACATTTGTGTTACTCTGTTTTATATTTCATGAGGAGCACACAAAGCCTGTTTAAACAATTTGTCTTAATCTAATATGCTTTTGGAGTGCTCATATTACTGCTTGCCTAAATGCAGTGCTGTTGCTCAGGCCAGAAATACATGGCGGGTTTTTTTTTTTTTCCTCCTCCCTTATCTTATGCCATATCTGTCCATTCCTCCCTGTAATGAAGTGGGCTGTAATTCTGGCACAGACAGATCGTTCAGATCCCTTCAGTTTCTCGATTTCCATTTCCAGCCCCCCTGACAAGCTGTCCAGCAGATGTCTTCATCACAGATATTTTAGTCTGATGGTGAGATAGGCAGAAGATTGGCGGGAGGGGGAGAGGTGGGAGAGCGACGGAGGGAGGGAGGGTGATTCAGCGGAAAGGGGCACAGCCGGCTTTTTTCGATGCATACTGAAAATGTGTCTGTGCAATGTCGATAAAAAAAGTTTAGGGGGACGAATGTGGAGCTGGAGACACAATCAGAGTAAGAACTTGTGAGTAAATATGTTATTCTGTTGCTTCATTCAGTCAATGAACAATAAGACGGTTTAATTGCCACATTGATGACTTGATTAGTCTAATCAACCTGCTCGTCTTCCATACTTTGAGAGATTTTTACAAATTGCCGTAGTGAGAGAGGAGGTGAAGGAGGGGAAAAAAGGCAGAAAAAGAGAGATGCTATGCAGGGAGCACTCTTGGCGTACAAGCTAATTGGCCCAATTTAGCTGGTGGAGGCATATACCACGGTTGGCTTCCGCTAGCGTTGTCTCTGGCGGCTGGTTGCGGACTCCTGTGGAGAACGGCTGGGCCGCGGGGCCGTTGCTGTGTGTGGGGAACAGCTGGCAATGGACGCAGCTGCTTGATTGTAAATCAAGCAGTATTGTTCCCACCAATGCACGGGTGCTTGTGTAGAAGCTAGTGGTATCCCACCCCGCTAAGGAAATGCTGCACCACAAACAAAGGAAGGAAGAAGGATGCGTGCGATTCAGCGGTGTGCAGGTTTCTAATAAAGC